CACTAGATTGCGTCAAACAGTCAAAGCGTAAAGTTGACAGAAACAAAAACAGCTGATCGAGTAAACACTAACCTGTGCATTATTCAGTCACAAGATGGCACCAAACAGCCAAAAACACAAAGCTGACAGAGACAAAAACAGCTGTTGTAGTATACACTAACCTGCGCAATATGCAGACACAAGATGGCGCCAAGCGGTCAAAAAGTACAGCTAATAGAGATGAAAACAGCTGATGGAGTATACACTAACCTGCACATTATTCAGTCAAAAACAGTTAAAAACTGCAGGGTCAAGGTGATTTGAAGTTCCTGGATGAACTTGTGTTATTTAGCGGTTGTTATCTCAGAATAACATACCTTGAGATGTCACAACTGACCAATCAGAATCGAGAATACCAAACAGCCATGTAATAATATTGAATATATTGTCATTTTCAGCACTGGAGTCCAAGGAAAAAGGTCTGAACCATAAGACTTTATGCATGAACAGCGAGCAGATCCTTGCTGATGGCACGCGCGTCAGACATTATGACGTTCACAACTTGTACGGCTTATCTCACACCAAACCCACCTACGAGTAAGTTCCTCCACATTTACTATGCATTTATATCCAGATTGTTCTGGAATGGGTTGTAATTGCTGTGTTTGTTTACGTGTTCGTCACAGTGCTTTGCATAGTACCACCGGAAAGAGAGGAGTTATAATTACCCGCTCAACATACCCAACGAGTGGACGCTGGGCTGGACATTGGCTGGGAGACAACTACTCTGCCTGGGACCAGCTCCTCAAGTCCATCATAGGTTTGTGGTTATTTATTATATGGAAAAAAATAAGCGCCACAAAGGCTCAGATTTTAGGTTAAAATTTACAATAATAAGAACCATAGTTTCAATACTAGAGATCAAAGCTCTATTAAATTAAATTAATCACAACTAGGGCTGCACGATATTGGAAAAATCTCACTTTGCAATATTTGTTTTACTGAAATATATATTGCGATTTGAATATAATTTAAGCAGATAATTAGAATAGCTACAGTTGAAGTCATAATTATTAGCCCCCCTGAATTATTAGACCCCCTGTTTATTTTTTCCCCTATTTCTGTTTAACAGAGAGCATATTTTTTTTCAACACATTTCTAAATATAATAGTTTGAATAACTCATTTCTATTAACTAATTTGTTTTATCTTTGCTATGATGACAGAAGAGCTGCACGAATCTGGCTAAAAAGAGAATCGCAATAGTTTTGCTGAAAATAAAGATCAGGATTCTGTAGATGTAAAATAAAGCTTAATATGAGTGACAATTATCATTGTTTTTTCTTAAACATATGGTAAAACAACAATATTAATATGATGGTTTAAATAAATAATTTAATTTTACTTATATTAATTCTGCTGTTGAATTATGTTTGAGATATAGGTTTATGCTTGCAGTCTGTCATTATAAACATTATTAGACCATTTAATTCACTAGTAAAATCAACATTATCTAGGCTGGAGTAGTTATACTGACACTGTAAACATTTATTCTCATGCACAACTCTTATCGCTATGAAAGAAAAAACATGTGCTTGTCGCAATCATAACTCTAAAATGCGATATTATTAATTAAATTGTGTACACGCTTTCGGTTTCATTTTCACTGCTAAGCGCTGTTCATACTACGCACGCGGCTCTCAAACGATCACTCTGTGCCACAAACTGAAGATTATTTACAACTTTATTACCTGTTACTCACAGCATATGCAGGTTCTGTTCACTAAAGGAGACGCGCACGCGCCTTTAATTTAATTACCGGCCACGAATATAGCATTATATGAAAACAAAAATTAAATTTTTTGGTGAATTAAACCTTATAAATACAGTATGCGACTCTTTTAACATCATTTAGAGGTGTCCATGTCTCTGAGCAACGTGTGTGAAACAATGGAAAGACTGGTGCAGCCGCCTTTTCTTCTCTCCTTAACTTGAAAATAGGATTGACAGAATCGTAGAAATTGATTAAGATCGTGTAGGGGTCGAATCGAGATCGCGATTTTTTTCACGATTAATTGTGCAGCTCTAGATAACATTAAATAATATTTGACTAGATATTTTTCAAGACACTTCTATACAGCTTAAAGTGACTTTTAAAGGCTTAATTACGTTAATTAGGTTAAATAGGCAGGTTAGGGTAATTAGGCAAGCTATTGTATAATATTGTTTGTTCTGTAGATTATCAAGAAAAAAAATAACTTCAACGGGCTAATAATTATGTCCTTAAAATGGTGTTTAGAAAAATTCCTCGCCAATATAATTTGGAAAATATTTATAAAAGAAAAAAAATTCAAAGGGGGGCTAATAATTAACTGTATATGTGCACTGTATCAATCGATTCTTCAACTGTAGGTGATTCTAATTTGAACCATTTTTTTGTAATTACTTTTTTACCATCTGCCAAACAAATAAATAACAGTTTCTTTAATTTAATTTAATTTAATTTAATTTAATTTAATTTA